ACGATCAGTACCTTTATTAAAATCGACGACCATGAGGAAATATCCCATAAACGCCCCATTATCGCGAGAGTGGTGAAGGCTAACAGTCAATAACCAATGGGGAACACTGAGCGATATAATGCGAAATGTTATCATACACAGTGTACCTGAGGGGAATTACATGATTGGAGATAAAAGGTTTCAGTTATGCGATGAATGCTCACTACAGTTGAAAAGGAGAGCTTGGTGCAAGTGAAAGCTCTCTCTGAAGGATTACCACCTTAGTTTCTATGTGATATTCAGAAACAGACACGACACCAAAGCTGAAAGCGATAGGAGGCACTTCCAAACGAAGCTGGCAACCAAAATATAGGTAATCCTAAAGTGTCTCTATTTTCGTAACTAAACAGAAACAGTGGAGGTCCGAATGGCAAAGATCATACCAACTTGCAGATCGCTGAGATCTTTAATGAAAACTTAACCAACCAGTTGAGCGAAGTACCGACAAGCTCAGAATATTGCTTAAGCCTAGTACCAGCCGACAGCCTGGGAAAACCGAACTTGCTCCCGTGTTAGTGCTGAGAGTACTCAAGCCCAAGAATGTGACAAAATACTCCCGGTAGTCCTGGAGCAGAAGCCATCAATTCACAATTATGTGATCCCTTTGAGAACATGCTGCAGTCACAACAACTTCCAGTAGTTTAGAAAGTGGCTACTCTATTTTCAACCCTAAAAGAAGGAAACAGAAACAATTCAGCCCTCTACTGACCAGTCTCAATACTACCATTATTGTAGAGGGTGATGCAAGGAGAGTGTACATGGATACATACAATATCCCATATGACCCAAAACACATGTTTTGGAAAGTCAGGGTCTGCCCATAGAATCTGGCCAAAAAATCGGAAAGATAAAAAACCTGCCGCGACCAAATAATGCCAGCCAATTCAATATTCCTTGACTTCATGAAAGCTTTTGACACAGTATCCTAGTTGTTCCTAATCAAAAGTATTGCTTAGATGGGTTTCTCTGGTCTTCTCTATCTCTGCTTCAAACCACCACAGAGTTGATGCTGCTGGCGACTCCTAACATCAGAGATTTTATAGTGAATGTTGTTATGTTCACTCCTCATTCCGATACATATTAACGACCTGTTAGGAGGAATTAGCTCGACGGCTATGGTTCATACAGAAAACAAAAAGATTAACATATTCTTAAGCAACTAAAAGGATAAGCTTCAGCTTCAAAAGGACACTACGACAATGGCGGAATGGGCAGTAGGTTAACCAGTTCAGATCTCATATCACGAACATCTAACCCATGTCACACATGCAATTCACGTCTTCCTTGGACGTCCGCTGTCAAGCATTTTCTCATAGCGCGATCTACATCTTAAAACCATAGAGAATTCGTACCCGGCTCAAGCTAGACGTGGGATATAGCCAAAACAAAAACTATTTAAAACATGCACACAAACCACCTTGAAGTTTAGAATGTCGTCTCACCAACTCTCCTAAAACGAGATGTAAATCTCTTGGACGTAGGGCAGAGGAGTGCAACTAAGTGGGTGATGGATTAAAGGAAGAACCTTTTGAAGCATGAGACCAACACTTTGGACTTGTGGCACACTGGATAGTTCAAGTCATCTCAACTCAAAGATCCTACCATTACATCACCATCATGCCTTGCGAAGTAACCCTTCTAAATCTGGTATGCAAGAACAAGCACGCAGGGAGGCGATCACCATTTTTCACGAAGAGTAGTACGTGCTTCGAATGCGCTTCCAACTGAAGTGACCGCATTCCCACCAGTGAATGGATTCAAGAGGAGATATGTGCTTTCATAAGGATTATTATCTCGCGCTTGCCGTGCATGTTGCATACCTCAAAACTTAACTATTGTTATTATTGTCACTCTCATCATTAATAACCTCTTTTATGGTCCCTCTGTTTCCCCTCTCATCATTACACTCCGGTCCTCTCATAACATCTGAATTGCCAATAAACTGACTTGTACTACTGGCATAGCGCCTCTCCTGAGCATTAGAATTTTTTTCTCTATTATATTGCACATTGCAACCAACTTATCTCCAGCCTGATAATGGGATAACTGCTGGTTTCCATGACACAAATGCACCCACTCACATCACGGGACATCTAAGCTCACAAATAATTTTCAACTGATTTGGATTAATGGAATCGAGTGGGTAGATTACCATCCAGTGGATATTATCAAATACCTAGAACCGTACCAATGTAAAGAAGGCGAGAGCGAAACAGTTAATCGGTTTATAGCAGTGTAATGGACGAAAACGTTAAGACCAGATGGAATAAGTGATTTACTGGAAGAAACCATAGTTTATTAGCACACACCTATATTCAGACCTTTTTTGAAGAGCAAGTAGGTTCTTGGCTGTCTTCTTTCACATGGTAACCTACAGTGAATTAAACACTGGGTCTCTGCCGTAACTGTGGTTGAAGATAATACTGCTGATCGCCAGACACTTAAGATCAATAAAACACAGCAATTAAGTGTCCAAAGGTAAGCACGGAAATGTTATACTTACTAAGTTAATGTAACGACTTTACAGGGTTAGGTTAACTCATGCGTACGTAGTGAGATGGGCTTGAAGCAACATTCCATCATCCACTTCACGTGTTTTGTCTATCAACAACAGAAGAATGTTAGATTCGAAGCGGATTTTATTCCACGGAGATACTGACAGTTGATTTTTCAGTAACTTTGCCTTGCCACAAGCCAGTTCTTACCTGAAACCATGGTTAAATGTTTTCAGTTTCAAATTGTAAATTATGTGTCTGAGGGGTTATGTATAATCGATAAGTATAGTCTAAATATTTTCACTTTCTGTCCAGGACAATCGAAACATTAACTAAGATTGACTTCCAATATCCAATATCATTTTCGCAAGCTAGCATAAATCAACTGATTTCTTTGAGCTCGATTCTTGTTCTTTCGGTACGGTTCCAGGTATTTGGTAGTATCAAATGAATGGGGGTCTGACCACTCGACTGTCTAATTGTAATCCGTTGGCAGTCGGTTATGAGTTTTGATGTCCCGTGATTTAAATGAAAACGTTTGTTTTAGTGTAGTAGGGTTTCTGAACACAAGCGGCTATTACATTACCAAACTGGAAATCAGATAGTTGCAATGTGGTGAATAAAGAGGAGAAAAATCTAATGCCAATAAGAAGAGGATTTCAGGACTAAGAAAATAAATAGATAATTTGTTTTATTAATTGGTAGTGAAAATTGTAAGAGGTCACCGAAATGTAAGCAAGGGAGAGGAAACAATGATAATATGAGAGATAGATTAAGTTAGCGATCTTAGGGGTTGGCAACAAAAACAACCAGCTGGTCTCAAGATATTCATCAGGCACAACTTTTCCACGAGGGAGATAATCCGTATGGAGTACGTGATTATCAGGTCTCTTCTTAACGCTGTCCACTAAAGGGACTTTAGTCATCTCGTCTAAGGAGAGAATTCCAAGTTGCGACGACTCTCAATGAGAAAAAGTGTGCACGAACCTGAGTATTCGCTCTTTGATGAGCAATTTTTCGAGGATTCACTTGAGAGAAGTGGTGGTGATGCATAAATTAGATGCTCAAGTTGGGATAGTTTGGCGTGCTTACTATGCACCCTATTTAGCTTGGCACTAAACTTTCTATTTTCACGGTAGTTCCTGAGCCAAGATACTAGTGGTTCAGTCAATCCCGTTTCCGCAGCCTTTGCGATTAGGCGTGCGTGGGGCACTGTGTCAGTCGCTATTGAAAATTCGAGAAATATCACGTGCACCGGTATTTTACGGTCCAAGCAGGATGTCCAACTGTCCCATGCAATGAGAAGATTAGATGCAAACGACCTGCCTTTCCGAAACTTGTGTTGAGCTTCATGGAGTATATTATTCTTATCCATGTACTTCCTCATTTGTTCGTTCATTAGTCCTTCCATTACCTTTGATAGTATTGGTAGTAATGAGACTGGTTTGTAACAGGCTGGGTAATGCCTATCTCCGCCTTTGAAGATTGGAGAGAGAGTAGCTTGTTTCCATCCAGATGGGAGTTTGTGTGAATCCAATGAATGCCTGAACAGGTCACATGGCAGCGAACAGAGCGCTTTTGCTATTTGTTTCAAGACTATGAGGCGAATACTGTCATAACCTCGTAACTTTCCTGGGCGTAAGGATTCTAGTTTTCTTCATACTATGTCAGGATTAATACGGATATTCCCTAAGCCATTAGATGGCCTTGGGTATGCGTAGCACTCTGAACATATGGATCCCTGGTTTATTTGAGCGGTGAAGTTTGTGTTGAAGAGCTCAGCCATCTGAGCTCTTTTCTGCGTAACCGGTGCACCTCTGCAGCAACAGCCGTTGTCGGATTTTCAAACAAGTTAATCAAACCGAGTTGGCCAGTTCTGTGGGAAATGGCCTCTACAGGTTTTTGCCTGTGCACTGCGTTCAGACGGCATGGCTATTATCTTTATGTCTTGTGCCAGAGGTTGTTGATTGTGTTCAACTGTCAATTTCGTGCTTCCTCCCTGCTACTGTCTCACAGATCTAGATCTGCCTTCGCAATACATAATGTCGCCGAACTTGTCGTTCTTCTACCTGTACCAAACTTGAAGTTCCTTAGTCAGGTCTTTCGATTCCTGAATTCCACAGCTACCAGTCGTGGTGACTTCATTTACGTGAGACTTGATGGGCAAGGCAGCCTATAAATGCAAATGGAAGTCGTGGTTTGAAGGCCCAGGCCACATGATAGCCACCGCCACTGTTGCACATCATGCACGTGAGCTTCATCCAAGCTACCACTATCCATTCGGGGCACGCTGTGAACTACCATGCCGGTCTACTATTCGGTGCTTGGTATTGTCCCGGATGCCGCTCTACAGATCGCTGTTGTCACTGAGAAAACGCAGAAACAAATAATTAATAATTTCCGGCAAGAAAATATTTAAATTTATCTGATGTTTCATCATACATATTTCAAACGGAAAATAGATTGATTGGCTGCTCAGTTTTACTCAACTTCACAGAATCATGTGTCATCGAAGTTGATTTACAGGTATTGTGAAGAAAAATTGTGGTTTCCACATTGAGATTTCAATAGGTGAGCGCGTAACGTGTATATTTACGTTACCGCAATGTTAAAACTACTTGGTTGGTACATTTGACATGTAATGTCAAAGTGGATGTAGATGTCATCTCAAAAGTTAGTTGCTTATTAATTTAACCACTTTACTTCGTGTTATTAGTTTTAATATTACTTTGTTTCCTAATAAGTATCATATTCTAATGTCTGGTTGACATATATTTTTAATTTGAATTTATTACAAAGGTATTTTCTTCTGAAGCGTATGAAATTGACATATCTCATGTTGAATGTCAAAGTTAATGATTAAACTCGTTTACAGATGTCCCGTATATTCCATCTAGGTGATTTGAAATACAATAGTTTAAACAATTTTCTTCGCACTTTCAGTAACGTAAAAAGTTTGGAGCAAAATTTCGACGAAAATATTTACGTTATTATTCCTAGCTGCATCCACTAGTTGATGATATGCGTTGAAACGGCCTTCCGACTTCATAAGTTGATATTTCGGCATATACATGAGCTGTTCATATGTAACAGGTTCTCCTTGATCTCATGTACACTTGAGCTTTATTGCTCATTAACATCTAGATAAAAAAGATATATGCATGTAGTACCTTTCTCGCCAAGGTGCAAATTCGTTCTCGATTCTATAATATTAATCACACTTATCAAAACAAAATATATGCACTGAAAAGAGTTGAGTAAGAAAATAAAGGAATAGAATAATTCGAAACTCATGAATTAGAGAAATACCATAAACATTCATCTACCTGCCTGCTATCGGTGCCGTAACACTGCAATATATACCATATTACTGGTTAAGTTCGAATGTCTATTAAATACGATGTCTTACAGCTGGAAAAAGAGGGCGGATTGTTGTGCCGTATAATCATCGTTAATAGACTAATGGTTATTTCGCCTACCTCATAGGCGGCGTTTGGTTGTTAACATAACTGTGTTAGGTTACTAAACTTATAGTGTCCTACATTTTTCAAAGGTATTTCTTGAACTTTACTAGATTAATGCCTATGCTAATATAGCATCACATATTGTTATAGGCATCTACGTTTGGCTACAGATTTGTACCACGTAATGCAATCGAGTCCTAAGTATTTTTGTTTTATCGCTGGAGGCTGTCATAAAACCTTGTATTGGCGTGTTCGAATAAAATTGTATCATGTACATACTCTAAGTTAATCAAGGACTCTGGTTAGATCAACGCCCTAAGAATCGGATGATAAGAATAATTTATGGGATCACATCTGTGGTAGAGCTGTATTGTATTGACAGTGGGTAGTACTAGCCAACGCCTTTGAGTCATTATTACTCCGAATATTACGATTTTACAATCTGAGTAGTCTGTCAATCATAAAACACCATATTCGTGTTAAAGGGTGTCTGTTATTTTCAAATTTGCTATTAAAAACGATTAGGTAATATTTACGCTACTGTTCTTATTCTAATATCATACGCTCCATACCAGTCAATCGTCCGCATAGTCTCATCCGTTTTGGAAAATTACCAGTCCATAAATCCCACCAGAAATCTGTTTTAGCTGAGTGTGCCACTGATAATTTCACGTTCCCTTCAATCTGTTCACCATTAAAGATTTGTCCCACCTTCTAGGGTTTTCATTCATCTAGTTAATTATCGTAAATAAATAATTTAGAATTTTAAAGTCCTAACTTCCTTTTATACATAAGACCATAATACTTATAGATTCGTGAATGTGATAATTTTGGTTACCGTAACTGTTATCAATAGTAAGCGGCAGACTTTTGTGTCATAGTTCTCATCTTTCCATTATAAAAACAGTTATTTTCTTTGGATGCTCTATATTTGATCTTTAAGTAACAATTTAATCATAATCAACGTCATTTTATCCAGAACTACCATGACAACGGCTACTAACCTATAAACGTAAAGCATTTTAATAACATCATGATTCATGTAGGTTGGTAAACGTTTGGTCACTTATACAAGCACCAACCATGCTTATAGAAGAAAGTTCACAGGTTCTAATATCGAAGCACCATTCATCTGAATATGTTTTAGGTAGATATCATGATTAACTTTTTCAAGAATAAAGAATAACTCAGTGTAATAATTCTTAAGTTAATGATATATTATGTGTTGTCGTAGCCCCTAAAGTCAACTACTTTTCTTCTTTTTACTATTCCCAGAGGTATGCTAGAAAGACGCAGAGATCGTTCACTTCACATTAGTCGCTTACAATTGAAACGATGGTCATCTTACCTTGCTACTGCGTTTGCGGTACAAAATAACTTTCTATGTATTTATTAATAATTATTGCACGTTTAGCTCCTCTCATTCATTTTCATTTCTGGTGGAATTTGGCTGCTTGAAAACAATCGAGTCGAATCTGAAATTATCGGCAAACGATATTACTATGAAGAAGGAATTCTGTTTGTGATCATAGGGATATTATTGCTTTTTTCGCTTATTTGTCAAGCTTTTATGATTCATCTATTGTTTGTTGCAAAAAAACCCTGGAGATTTACTGAAGTTAAGGTAAAAAGAGCAGTCGCACTGGTAAGGTATACGTTAATAAAAACATATTTATCTTATGCAGTATTTATTTTTTCTGTTTGCAGTGACAATCCCTCATATTTATTGTTTGTATCATGTGAAAACAATTAGAACAAAAGTAAGCATGTATATTTTATTTTCATCTATTTATGCTTCATTATTTAAATAAGTCGTCTGTTACCAAATCAATTACTACTTATTATTAGATATCTCGCTGTAATAGTGTTCATATTTGGCTTAACTACCAAGATAACCTTCACGCTAAATTATACTTTCATGTCAAACGCAAATCAAGCGTTTCAGAAATTAATTTCATTTATAGAATTGTTTTGATTGCAGATACTTTTTCCAAATTCAATTCACCGACTAGTACTGAAGTATTACTTTTCTCTAAGAGTTTGAGTTTTATGCATCTATCTAGACACTATTTTCAAATTAACCTCATCGTTATATTATACGTGAAAGCAAAGCTTTAAACTAATTGTACTTGGGAGTTGTCAACCAATCCCTACTGCAGTTCAAAGTTTAGTCTATTGAGCGTTTTTTCCTCAACATTATGTTATGTATTTTATTGGCAAACCCAATCAACAGCTAAATTATTTTACGTTCGTTTGCGAAATCGGATGCACTATTTGCACTACTTTAAGTATAAGCGAAAATATTTCCAACATTTTGTGAATTAGGTAGATTGCAAATTTTAACTGTTATATCGACAATCTTCTGTTTGGTAAGGACACTAACAAAATGTTAAGTTTTCTGACCATCCTAAGCAACAATTCAAGCATGTTCGGGATGCGATTCTCCGTCGAAATTCAAAATGTCGCCTCAGGATTGGCTTTTATCGGGAGTGAAGTAGTCGGGCGTGTCGACTGCTTCAATTATCTTGGGAGTCGTATCAGTGCTTATAGCCTGGTGACTGACGAAATCTCAGCACGGCTACAGAATGCTCGATTGGCGTTTGCTAATTTGCGTCACTTACGGCGTAGACGAGATATCCGTTCGCTAACCAAAGGACAAGTTTACTGCGCAGTTCGCTCCGTCCTACTTGATGGCTGCAAAACATGGCCAGTGAGAGTAAAAGATATACGTAGGTTACTTGTTTTGGATCATAGATGTCTCCGAAACATTGCTCGAGTATCATAGGACAACCGATTAAGCAATGCTGTTGTTAGGAAACGGGTGCTAAGTAAGGATGTCAGATCAATAAATGAAATATTGAAACTTCATTAGTTGAGGTGGTTGGGACATGCGTTACGAATGCCACCGACTGTCTCGTTGAGCTATGTAGGTTGGAAGAAACCTAGGGGTGGCCAAAACAAAGCTTGACACAAATCCTTGAAGTCACTGACATTTGGGTTGAGTCATGTTGTTAGAGGTGGACTACCTAGTTGGGATCCGCGAGATGATAATAATCGACGGTTAGAGACCTTGAATGACATGACTCGAAACCATTTGCAACGGCGCCGGTGCATCTACTCGTTGTCTTTTATGAAATGCTAATCTTCTGGATTCTACATCGCCTTTATTTCTCTCTTTTCAAGTTTATTTCACTAGATTATGCTTTTTAAATAGTATCTGCGATCCCTAATCTTCTCCGATTACTGCTATTACTTCTACTTCCTCTACTACCATTGGATTTGAATTGAAAATTGAGTCTCTGTGCTAATCTGGTATGGCAGCTTGAACTGATGTACGTACTTACAAAGTTCTGTGTGGTAACTGACTAACTGACCGACCAATGTAACAACATATCCTATTATTGAGTAGACCGTTAACAATTCCATTATTTTACTAAAACACCATAATATTGAACGGATAGTAAATTGTTAGAAGATTTATACTTGAAATGTTCATGTCAGAGAAGCGAATTCGATTGCAACACATAACTAAAAACTTTCCACTGTTAAAATAATAATATTTTAATATGGTTAACATTGTGAATATATGTATTTCAAAATTACAATTATTAAACATTCCAATATTTGCAAATATATTGCTTACTGTAAGATTATTCAGCTTATTTTAAAATCCGTTTCCTTAAATAGAATTCTTTGTTAATTTGTAGTTGATATGGTCAATTAAAGAACAAACTGAAGAGGCTTTGATTAGCTTGTACGGGTTTGAACCTGATTTCACATCTGCATGGGATCATTTACAGTCTCAGGTAAGTACATATAAAAATGATTATCATTGTTTAACTCTTCATAATTGGATAATAAACATTAATAAGACATTTAAAATTGTTAATCATATACTAGATATGTAGAAAGTATTTATGGTACTATTCCATAGTTATTGTTTCTCAATTTCATTCAATCCTTACGAGCTAATTTCCATTTTCCTAATATCCTTCAGTGCTGATATAAAATGTGACGAATTGAAGCAAGGCGCATCTCTTTCACATCCAAGATAGCGTTTATTTTATCGACCCATAAACTAATAATCTCAAAATGCCCGATTCCATCCTATCATTTATAGTTTGAAAAATGAAGTTTTTAAGAGTTCAGTTTTATATTGTATCCACTGTATTTGAAATTGTTAGTTAGAACTTACTATTATAGTGTGTTAGTACTTGATGTATTACTGTTCAGAAATATTCAAGTACCGAATATGGCTTCCATGACGAAAAAAGTTACCATTACTCTGAAATTTCTGATTTGCCTTATCAAGTGTTTGGCTTACACTGAACTCTTACATTAAATCACAAGCATTTCATTGATACAGTAACCCGTTTCATAAGACTAATTATTTTTATCCTACAATTCAAATCCTCTCTGTTTTTGGATAGTTATTTTTATTTCTGTTTAACATGAAGACCATTTCAAATAAACTCCATAATATCATATTACAACATCATTGATGTATACCACTTGTTATTCAATGATTCGAAATTGACTCATCTTTTATATAGTTGTTCGTTATTTCTAGATGAGTTTCCGAAGTAAATTTCCATTACGATAATTTTCGTTTACTAAGATTTCATATGTATATTCCTTCATGATTTATGCAAAATGTCGATCTTAATCTCTGGCACCTGTTAACTGTTATCAATGCTTGTAAAGATAATGATTACGAAAATTAATCTTATTAAAATCTTTATTAGTTCTGTGTGTTTAACTTTTAGAAGTTTCATTGCATATACTCTTTGTGGAAAAAATTAGTGGATTAGGTTAAAATAGGTTGGTAGGTAGATAGGAATTTCGTTAAGCAAGTGTCATGTCCTTTCACGAACCAATCCACATATGACCTTTTTGTAACCAATATTTAGTAAGGACGAGAAACTTGACTACCCTATGCTCAAACGATGGCTCAATACCTAACTTGCTCCAATCCAGATCAATTGCCATCAATCCAAGATTCTGGTCTCAAACATTCGTTTATATACTCAGAAAAAGACCACATCACAGCGATCAACGAAAATTAATCACTATATATGAATAAGCCGAAGATGGTTGTGAGTATAGGAGACTGCAAATAACAAGCTAGCAACAGACTAAGAATAACAAGTCATACAACTGTAGTTAATGTTTATCAAAAAAGCTCAAGATACAGGGGATATATATATATATATATATATATATATATATATACATAATCTAGTTACTCAGTAATCATACAGTTTGACTTTACACAACAATAATCGATAAACTGTGTTCTTAAGTTACCATTTACTTTAGTCTTCATCCAGATTTAACAGCAAGACTTTTTTTGAAATATTTTCCAGTCGAAAAGTGTGGATTTATTTTGAAAATTTTATTATGTGGTAATAAACCGAGTTCCTTACTTACTTACTAATGAACTTTTCCTGCTTACCTCTATTCTAAGTAACTTAAAACATCCTTTTCTTATCTCTGGTTTTATTATAAGGATAATTTAGCTATCGAATACTAAAATCGTATTTCAAACCGATATTGTTATTCTATTGAAAATGATTAGCTCAGAATAACAGCTGATCTTGAAAAGATGGATTGACTGTACGGCTAAGCACAGTCAACAGTTAAATAATTATTTTCAGATCATCTAAGTGTCTACATACCAAGTTTTAAAAAAATTGTTTATTTGATTTTATGTGCTGTATTTAGTATTTCAATTGTTAATAGGACCATTCACTAGTGAATTCGATACTTTAATTTAATACAGATTTAGGTCATATCGATGTTCATTATGACTTGGCATGATTTTATCTATTGAAATGACAATTTATTATTACTATTATTATTATTACTATTATTACTATTATTTTTATCATTATTACACTATATGTTACCAATCATGAAAATTAAACTTGATAAATAGATTATATTTCGAGTTTTACCATTCTTCACTTCCTTTAAAATTACCCTGAATCTTCAATGTAATTCTCATATACACACACTTATCATATTTAGGTCATGGATACGCAAGCGTTGTCAAGAAATATCTATATCTAAACATGCATACACACCCATTACTTAGTAGTTGTCATCATTGAATAGCATTAATTAACTAATTAACATGATAATTGCAATATAACTATACTTGAAGGTGAAGTATTTATCCTCTTAATGTATGGTCTGCAAATAATACTTTTAAGGTCATTAGTTTTTATCATATTAAAATTACAAATATATTTTATTAAAATTCACTTTTGACTTCCATACATCAACATTAGATAATTTGAATTGTACTATGCTCTTTTTTTCTCATTATGGAACATGGCCAGTAAGAGTGGAAGATATTCATAGGTTACTGGTTTTCGATCATAGGTGTCTCAGAAGCATTGCTCGTGTATCCTGGGACAACCAAGTAAGCAATGCAGTTGTAAGGAAGACGGTCGTAGCTAGCGATGGCAAATCAATAGATGAAGTATTGAAACGTCATCATTTCAGGTGGTTGGGACATGCGTTATGAACGCCCAACCACCGACTGCCTCGGCGAGCTATATTTTGCGGTGTAGGATTAGGTTAGAAGAAAGCGAGACCGAATGTCTTGTGTTCGAATCTTGCGATTAGCAGGAGTCATGGATGCTCAAGTTTCTAATGGTGTTCTAACAATGATTGACTCATTATTCTCTTTGATAGAATTGTTATTTCACTGAATTCTTTCACGTAATCAATTGATGATTAGTATCCGTATGTATGATGTACGCTTAGCATCATCAGATCGGTAATTTAATTTATCATGACTGACAAGTATCTGTGATTAATTAAATTCACGAAAATTTATGAGAATAATAAAATTTTCGCATCTATTGTTTGTGTTAATATGGTATTTCAGATGCAATCGTAGTAGATAGAATCCAAGTTTTATCTGTAATAGTCGATTTTCTAAGTTTTTGAAAGTTTAATGACCGTGTTTTCAATTACCACTGTTATCACATGATTGATCTAATATCATTAACAACACTGTAAGTAATATTCAAGTTTTCAATCATGTGTTTGAACATAATAAATATTGGTTATTCTGTTGCTAAAGTATCTTTTAAATATCCTACCTTAGGTTTACGAAAATTGTGTTATTCTTTGAAACTTAAAATAAATCGCAAAAGTTAACAACCCATATATTTGTTGTTAGAGTTTACCTTGGAATAATTAACGGTTATTATGTATTAACCTTTATTTCTGTGTTAGCAATGGATTATTGGTTTAAGTTGCTAAGTCACAGATTCAAACTTCATATCACGTATTGCGATTTAGGCAGCCAAATAGTATCAATAGCCTGTATACTTAAACTAGTAATCACTCTTCACCAGTTGAAGTATTTGGAGCATGTGTTACATATGTCTGACCACCAGCTGCCTCGATGAGAGTATGATAAGCAGCATGAATCAAACAATAATAATAAATTATTCAACATCATAGTTATTAAATTCTATCTCCATTTTAAATTCATTAAATTTAGAGTGAATGTTGTGGATTTTCGGGTCCTCAAATCTATGCCTCTTCAAAATGGAAATATAGTCAACCTAATTCCTCAGCTTTTGTTAACTTAGTACCTGATTCTTGTCTTACACTTAAAAGTTTGGAAGAACAAGTACTTGAAGATATAAAAACAAAATCTGATTATGATGAACCTAGACAAGTGACTTTTCAGAAAGTAAGTTTAATTAAATGTTATGTTTCTTATTTTGGATTTATGTAAATCTGTTGAATTTCTTTTTGAAATCAATAAACATAAAGAATTTATGTGTTCACTTTTAAACTATAACATTTTTGGCCACCGACTATCAACTTCTACCGTTGTACAAACATATTATTTAAACGAATGACTGAAATGGTACATAATGGTGCTTCATCTGCTTTTGAGCTTCTAGTTTATTTCTTTAGCTAGTATATTTTTTGAGGTATGAGATAATGCCATGTGTTGAACATTGGGGTAGATTGAGTTGTTTTTAGTTCTTTACCCGGTGTTTTAAGTGCCATCTTGCTCATTTATTATTTCATTGGGACTCAAGTTTTATCATTTAGTGTTGCTGGGTCATTCGAATGGGACAGTCAGTGATTAAGACTGGTCAGATGGGATCACGTCCATTTCCCGGATTCTACCACAATCCTTAAAAAATCTCAGGGTAGGCCTTTCAGGTCTCGCTGCTCTCCCTCACCTTAGATTCCCTATAGGTTTTTCGACTTCATAAATATTCGTAGAACTTTCATCGGTTTGTCATTCAGGTTTAATGGAGATTGCGGGCAACTGAAGTGTTTCTGAAGGCCAGTAGAACTGATCCCTAAAGTGTTCTACCCATCGATCCAATCTCCTGGACTGAGATTGAATAATAAACCCATCGTTCCCCGAGATAGTATCGTAGTCGGATTCCTGATACCGGTCTTCTTGATAATTCTGAATAGTTGTCTACTGTTAACTATCACCGCTGCCTTTACCATCTCTCTTGCTTTCGCTACCCATCATTGTTCGCGATAATTGCGTAGGCTTTTTACCAGCCTGTGATTACGCTCACTTCGCTCTTCGTCATGCTCAGAGCCAGACGCGATGAGTTTTCGAGCATCTATCAGTCCGGTAGGTGCTGCTGAAACCGACTGTTTCTCACCAATCTTATGGTTCACCTTACCAGCAGATATCACTGCAGTTCCAACAACTTTTTGGATATCATTCTAAGCTGCCTCGGAGTGCGAATCACTAACATGGCCACCTAATTGTTTTGCTAGTTATTCCTTAAATATAATCCTGGCTATTCTGTCATTCAGTAGAACCCTAAGGGGTTTCTTTACGGTGTTTTTCCTACGTTCAGTAAGACGCAAACAAATTCGCGCTCGCATTAGAGCGTGATCTGAATCTAATCAAGTGCTCCAGGATGAGCGGCAGTCCTCAATGGAGCCTTTCTATCGATGGCTTATCGCAATATGGTTTATTTGGATGCATCGTTGGGTCGGCTTTGGGGGTTGCCAGATCAATAGGTGTTTTTCCTCATCCTTAAAGTTAGTATTTGATGGAAATAGGCTATTATCTGAGCATAGCTGCAGAGGGCGGTCGCCATTATCTGATCTTTAAGCCACGACACCATAAGATCCACCCCGGTGTCCTCCCCTTTCACTTAGTCTACCTGCCTGAAGACTGAAGTCATCAGACATTATTACTCTGTCAGTGCGCTCAACATTTGAAGAAGGTTAGGAAGGTTTCTGCAAAACGCATCTTTTATCTCATCCTAGCTGTGGTCAGTGGGAGCGTAGGCTGAGGCAACGGTGAGTTTCTCTGTTTACTAGTCCCTACTGTCCCGTTTAGCTGAACAGCGCATAGGCGTCTGTCTACTGGGATCCAGAGCTAGTTCTGCCATGGGACTCAATGCTACATCTACACTAGTGAGGACGTGAGAAACAGCAGTGTAGTTCCTATATATACGAGGCGTAAATCGAGTTGGTTCTTTATTTGGTTAAGGTGAATTCAAATTAATGGTTTTACTCGTGTCCTGTATGCATGTTTCGGAGACGCAGCATACACCGATGGCGCGAGATTCTAAAGCTTGTTGTCCTATCTGGCACACGGTTCGAACGTTGAAAGCTCTAATATGTAGTTTGCAGAAGGGTTTCATGAAGCCAGGAGTTGTGTTTCGTGAACTCGAAACGTTTGCTTCAGCGGCGCGAGGTTATGAATGATCTTGAGAAGGGTTGGTTGTGAATATAAGAGAGTTATTAGGAAGTGTAGGAAGAACTTGGTTGTGACCGATTCGGTCACGTTTGTTGTTACTGGTATGAGGGCGGGCGTCACTTTCCGGCTGCCCACATGCAAGAGTACTTCAGACACGCCTCAAAAGTAACTCAGGTTAGCATTGGTCTGAGCGACCTGGGACCGTGATCACAGAACCAAAAGTACAACTGATTGAGGCCGATTACTCATGGCTTTCTTATGAGTGTTAAGTCTTCAAACGGCGGCCTAATTGCGGGGAACGGAAACCCGTGGAGTGATGTGAGGTGCGACATTTTTACGCTCGACGTTTTCTAACCTTTTCTCCCCTTGTGGGTAGACAGCATTGCTGCATATGCTGATTGTCCGACGTAAACACCTGACTGCTGTCATACCTCCCGACAGTTAGCAGTACGACTTCATCCTCAGATCTTGAGTAGACTTTTAGTCTGACCGTTCTCCAATCGACCTGGCTGGCATGAGAGAACCTAGAGGAACATATATATTAAGTCAATATAACTCGGTTGGGTCATCACGATAAGCAAGATTGACCATCACGTCATGGTAGTAGCTAAGGTCGGGATGTTGAGTTAAGTTTCTTGAATATTCCAGTCAGTGCTTGCTAGCTCAAAAATATTCTATCAAACAATGTATTAGAGTACTAACAGTGTTGATATATTTAATACCATACTAAAACTCAGACATCAAATTTGTTCCAATGTATTAGCAAGAGGACAGTGGAAAGTATTGTCCAAATCATATATATATCACGCTCATATTCCATGTTACCTTCTTTCTAATTACTAAATATCTTGTATATTTTTCTTTTTTATTTCAAAGGGATGCGCAGAATTTCTTTACTCTCATATTGAAGCTGTTTTAAGCAGTTCATTTATTGTACCAGTTGTTTCTCTTGTGATTGTAGTAAGTTCGTTATTTTTTCTCTCGTTTGCATATTTCTCTGTACCTGTCACTAATTTTTTCATATAAATGTAAAACAACCATTAATGTTGTACTACATAGGTTTAAAGAAATAGGTTAAGATCAATAGAGCAAGCTGTCGGTCATATGTAGAAAAAGTTGATACTTTACTTCTACCTGGAGCTTTTGATTCAACAATTTACTTCAAACAATGTAAATTCGTCAAAATCATCCACCTGAGCTACAAATTTTCTACAGAATCTGGTAGTTCAAAATTTTAAGGAATTTCTAGTTAAATATAGGTATTTTGTGAATGTCAGAATCACTTCAATCAAATCCTATGTAGACCAAAGGACAAAATGACGAAAGAAGAACAACCAAATATCATCTACAAAATAAATTCCTCAGACTAAGAAAAACGCTACATAGGACAAAGTGGACGGCCTCTTCAGCTTCGTGTACGCGAACACCAATTAGCAGTCAAACGCCACTATAATTCTCCAATTATATCAGTACATACGGACAATAATGGACATACATTCGATTGGAACAATGTGGAAATACTGGATAAGGGGAGCATAAAGAACACTAGAGGATTTCTAGAAGCTTGGCACTCAGGTTAGTCAGCAATCAACAAACACACCCAATTTATGAACCAATCAGAAATATCATAGGCAAACGTAGGATTAAGAAACAGATCAAAGAAGGGATACAATCAAAACAAAGGTGCAAACAACGACAGGTTTAAAGTCAACAGCAACCAATCAAGATCGAGGCCAATAGATCTAGCTACGGGTCAAACGTGGAGAGAAATTCTAATGCTTGACTTCAATCTGAAGTTTGTGCTGATGATGTTGTTCAGAAGAGCAATGAAAGCTCCACAACTAAAACATCCAGCTCGAAAAACGAAACCACCACCACAATTTCAGTTGTCCATAGATACACCTAACAAATTGATCATCTAAATTCTTATTGTTGTATACATCAATTGATTTAAGTAACATCAGGATATCATATAAATTGTAGTTATGCGCATTTGCATAATAGAACATATGAACACATTATCCTGGTATTAGTGTATCTTTTTTTATAAATAACTAAAAATAGTACGAAATTTTGATATACCAATTTTTTAAAGTCGGTTTACTAGCTCTAATTACGTGTATATTTTCATGATTAAATTTTGTTTGTTATATTCAACATAATAGAAATTATTTCTCTGAGCATTTGATTCTGCCATTCATTCATTATGTAGTGGAAAACGCTTCAACTTGATCAAAACATTGATGTATCTTAACTTTGTTGCATCACTTAACTCTCGCATAAAGTCTCTCATTGGTTGACGATGTTCCATGTGATTTAAAAACTGAGTGTTATGACAGGAAGGATGATAGACAATTTTTTTCCCTTTGACATATGAAGTACAACAGATATTACAAATACATAATTTATGCACTAACACTATATTGGATAATATGACTGGATATAGTAAACCACAATATTTAGATACGAAATAATTCAGTCACCAGACTAGATCACGTTATAGACGAATATGACCGATGATTATGAAGTAAATTATAGAGATAGAATAATCATTTATTCGCACACATTGTGAGCACATGACAAGAATCTCGAAAATGAGCGAAGAAGTTTATGATATCATACTATGGCTAGATATCTAATTATCTTTGCGCTCTGGTTAATCACATCCTACTTTCACTAACCATGTATTATGTTGCATGACTGCTAAATTCATTTTCTGTTTGCATTCTTGAACAAGATTGATTTGTGCCATCTACTAATGAACGGTTGAATTCTCTGGTAGTGGATAATTTCTTTTTTTTAAAACCTTTGACTACTAACTAGTTGAATGTAGCAAATAAAATAGATAATGAAACACCGTTGTAGTACTTTGGTTAGACTAATATAAGAAAATTTTAGTTAATAAAAGTGATACTTTAAAATAGATTTAAAGGGTTACGTAATATAATTAATCATAAATAGTTTCAAAATAACTAAAATCCCCTAATACTTGAAACAGCCAAAAAAGTAAGCATATTTGCGTCTCATTCGAGGCTATGTAGTCTAACTTCTGCTACTGTCAGTCTTTACGTAAAGTTTTTCAGGACTCAGTTAATAAATATACTTTATACTAAAACTCATTAGAAAATTTTCCGAATTCTTGTAAGAAATCCTAACCAGTGCAGTTTGAATATGTCATGTGTGCGCAAGGCACCTCTACCGAAGGTGATGGAAGATAGCCGTGTTTAATGTCGTAGAAGCTATACTAAAATGAAGTTGTCCAATGATTTTAGGTTTTCAGTGGTTATCTAACTTAGTTCTGTTCGTAATCTTGAGTGAAATTTTTATTGAATGATAATACATGAGGTGTAATAATATTTATATGACACTCTTCTTCTTATTTTTCTCTTGATTTTTTCCTTTTTTCCAAAAACAATACTATTTCGTGTTCTCTCCTATCTTCATATCAAATACACAAACTGGATTCTTGTGACTCATTCAAACAACAACACCCAGTCCTTCTCATTTGTCCTTGGGATCATTCTGTGTAATTTCGTAGTGATTGGAGAAGAAATTTAAACCAATCAATACACAGTAACAATGCCTCTCAACATCAATTCACTTGATAATCAGGCTGCTTTTTGATCTGGTCCAATACGATCTGAAAAAAGAAATCTCCAGATTTTCTTTACATTTTTTTTTAATTGCCAAATTATCATTTCACAGTTATGTCGCTGTTGCGTTTTTTTTCTTAACTTCATTTTTTTTAGTAAAAAAAAAATCGTTTATTTTCTACTAATTTTGCTACTAATATTGCTACTGCTGCTACTGCTACTACTACTACTACTAATGTCATCATTTTAATTTTTGCTTAGAAAATTTATTTTTCAATGAATTACTCTTGTTTTTTTTCCCCGTATTGATTTTCTCGTTGATTAGAATCGTGATAAAAAATGTGTCTGATTAAGTATGATTTTATGATTACTATTACTATTTATTAATAACCATGTAGTTCATGTTATTTTTATTATTACTCTACATATTCTATTTGTATATTTCATTTGGTTTATACAATATACAGAATGTATTAGCTTTGTACGGTGAAAAAAATCAATTCATGATTATGATAATGATATCATGTCATTGTTTGTTTTCTAAAAGGAAAACTTAGTGTAAATTATTTTGTGTTCATTTTAATGTATATTTAGCTTTGCATTCATTCTTTTATATGAAAGGCTGGTCATGTCATGATTTTATTAAGTATAAGTCAGTCACTCCGTCAGTCATAACGTAGAAATCTGTAGCTAGGTAGGAATTATCCCTTGGTTAGCAAACGGATATCTTGCGTACGCCATAAGTGACTCAAGTTTACAAAAGCCAATCGAGCCTTCTCTATGCGCGCTAAGACTTTATCGGACACCAAGCCATTAGCACTGACGAGACTCTTGAGATAAGTGAAGCGGTCGACCCGCTGAACTGCTTCACTCCTTATCACTAGTTAGGGTGCCGATGCAAGCTAATCTTGAAGCAGCATTTTGAATTTCGGCGGGGAGAATCGTATCTCGAACCTGCTTATATTGTTGCTTAGGATGGTCAAAAAACTTTGCATTTCGTCAGCGTCTTCACCAAACAGAACAATTTTATCGACATATTCCAAGTCAGTTGGTGAGTCTCCTGACAAAAGTTCAACCGCTGGAAATTCAGACGAAGATAATGTTATCTCTGAATGCATGTCAATGACAAAGTTGAATAGGAATAACGAAAGCGAACAACCCTGACGAACACCACTTGAGGTGATCAATCCTGATAACAGTTCGCCATAAGCTATGACTCCGGCAGTAGTAGGTTTGTTTAAGGTTAATTTACTTCTTTGGTACGCCTTTTAATAACAGACACTGCCACAGAACCTCACGATTGACAGAGTCAAACACTGCTTTAAGGTCGAGAATTACTACTAATGTGGGGGACGTATGCATGAGTGTCTATGTCCTAAGACCTGTCGTAGTGTGAATATGTGGTCTATACATCCTCGTCCAGGTCCGAAACCCGCCTGGTTTTATCGAGTCTGCACTTTACGAGCTCTAGTTAGGCGTCGGAGTATTATTGGAGGCTAACATTTCGGACACCATATTAGTTAGACTGATTCCTGTATGATTGTCACAAGAAGACGTTTGTCCTTTACAGATGGGGGCAATCAGTGGTTGAGAATGATCAAATGGGACCACGTCCAGTTCCCAGATTCTACCACCATCCTTAAAATTGTCAGGGGTCAGTCTATCAGGTCTCGCTGCTCTCCCTCGCCTTAGATTTCCTATAGGCTTTTTAACTTCATTAAGAGTTGGAGATCTTACATCGACTTGCAATTCAAGTTCACTGGAGATCGAGGATAACGGAAGTGTTGCTGAAGGCCAGTAGTCCCATCATTTTCAGGAATTGTGTCGCTAACAGTTGAGTTTCTAATACCGGTTTCCTTGATATATCTGAACATTCGTTTACTGTTACCTATTGCCACTTCCTTTATCGCTCTTGCCTTGAACATCTAACAGTTCGATAGATGCTAGTGATATCCCATAGCTTTCTGGATATCATTCCTCGGAATGGGCATCACTTACATCGCTGCCTATCTTTTTGTAGTTGCCATCGAAATATACTCTTGGCTTTGGTAGCGTTAAGTAGATCTCTTAGGGGTTTCTTTGTAGTCTCTCTTACATCCAGTTAGGCGCAGACAAAATTGCGCTCGTGCTAGTGTATGATGTGAATTTAAACGTGTGCTCCGAAATGAGTGACAGTCTTGTATCAAACCTCCGCATTGGTTGCTGAAAGCGATGTGGTCTAGTTGTTTTCCTGGTTAGGTTTATTTTGTGGCTGATGCTTTTCCTTATACCTAGAGTTAGTATTTGCTCAAAATAGGCTGCAGCAGGCGGTCGCCATTATCTGACCTTTCAGTCACCACCCCATAAGACCTACCCATCTATCTTCCCTTTTCACTGAGTCTACGTACTTGAGCATTGGAGCAACCAGCCATTACTACTTTATCAGTGCGCTTAACGTTTTAAGAAGGGAAGGCAGCATCTCTGTATATGCTGGTTGTCCAAGGGAAGCACTTTACTTCGGTCATAACTCTCGACAGTTAGCGATTCGACTTCGCCCTCAGACCTTGAGTTGCTACTTTTAGTCTCATCGTTCTCCAATCGACCTGGCTGGTATGGTAGAACCTAGAGGAACATATGTTCCAGCCAATAAATGTCGGTTGGGTTAGAACGATAGGCGAACTTAACCACCACGTCAAGGCAGCCGATACGACTGGAAGTATAGAATTTTTGTATAAAACAGGGAATTGGTTTGTTTGCGATAGCGCTTGAATGTACTTCGAGATCTCAATGTAACTGCTGATTTGTCTCTTATCCTTGGCTTTTTCAAACAATAAATCTTTCCAGAATAATCTATATTGATTTGAGCAATTGTCGACTAATTACATTCGGTAACTGCTAATTACGCAATTTGTCAAACTAAAATTTCATATGGACAAAATACCACCATGTTGAATTAATGAAAATCAATCAAACTGAACTAAAGGTCAGTTATATGAAAACTGCTTGAAGTCAAGCAACACATGATCTTAAAATTGTTTTCTTCCTAATATGTTCCACTTAATGACTTAATATCCCTAACAGACATATAAACTTCTGTTTAGTATAACAATAGTGAAGATCAACTAAAGACGCATATTGTCATACAGTTTTGTTTGTGGGTGTTCAATTCCAGTTTTAATGGGAACTCAGCTGTTCATTTACGTTTAGGTGAACCTAACTGACCAGTTCACATTAGGATGTGATTTCTAAATTTCCGCTCTAGTGACTCTCAAAAACATCTAAATTATCATCTGTTTGGCGAGAAACAAAGTCTTGCAATCTTAGTGGTTACATTGAGAAATTATGTGTACACTGTCTAAGACTATCAATAGACTTTGGTAGTTCTCAGTCCCATCATATCATATATATAGTATATTAATGAAAAAAATAATCAAAGTTAAATAATTCATTTATTATTTGTTTATATATTATTAAATCCCAAAAAATTATTAAGTTACAACTATAAGATGTAGTCAAAGCCGTCGAATTCGTGTTTGCCTTCTGTAAACTTATCTACCAAATTCGTCGTATGTTCGTTTTTGTTAATTCCAAACGTTTCAGCTTTGCAGTCACACACACTGAGAGCTCATCATCACTGAATGGTACCCAGTATGTTTTCTAATCTGTTCAACTTACTAATTTTTGACCATTCCATGATGACCATAATTGTTAGCAGCCTTAATATAGGTCGTTGAATTAAATCGTAATTAAATGAAAGTTGAAAAGAGCCAATATCTCAAATAACATCAGGATATTACTGAGTGCTGTCGATATTAGTTTAGTGGGAATGTATTTATATGTAAGCAAGAATGAGGTTTTTGTATATCACTTCTGTTTGATTTACCGAATTCCTCCGACAGTTATTTGATAGCTGAGTGTTAACCTCATAGCGAGATGAGAACTATTGTTATTCGCGGGATTATCAGGTCTAATCCCGATAGATCCAGAAAGAAGACAGTAACTGGATGAAGAGGTGTATTATTCCGTTGTCTCGTGATATCAAAATAATATCAAAGACCGGAATAAAGAAGTGGCTAACAACCAACGAGGAGAAACGCAGAATGGGAATGACACGCTTGGCGCGCGAGAGATAGTCTTTAGTACGGTTAAACAAAAGGAGTACAATAGAATAATTATTGTTAGAATTTAGTACAATAATAAATGTTTCCATTTCAGCAATTGTGTTATCTTTGTAAAAGTATACCACTACAACCTCTCACACTTTTCAATGTTGATTCGAGTCTCACATGGAACATCATTTTTATTGTGAGTCCAGGCACACATTAAAGGTTGCCACCTTTCATGAAGCCTAAGATTAGGGTTTACTGAAGACTGTTTGGAACCACCTTGCAACGTCTGATAAATTTGTTGATACGATCCCACTACATATCTTGTCGTCTACTCAGAATGGATTTCTGTTCATTTACTGGTTCACTTTTCTGCATTCGATATGAATATGACAATCCATTTACAATTTGTTGTTTATCTGTATTTATTGGAAAACTAGCAAGCAATCTACGTACTATAATCATTAGGTCTTAGTCAACCAATCACCTGTGAAAGTGTTGCCTAAACCATACAACGTTAAAGAAGTTACATTGATTGATCGGGTCTCTAGTGGTCACAATCCAAACGTAAAGAATCCGCCTATAGTTCTTGAAGAGAACTGGTTAGTTCTATTGAGTTTTATGGAAATGCAATCTCAATATGTCGTTAAAACATGATATAATTGTTTTTCTAATGAACTTTAATAGCATTTGAATTATAAAAGGCCAAGGAAATATCTGTTTATTTTAGCATACGTTTGGCACTAGTAGTTTCGATATATCCCTTAACGATTACAGGCCTTCATTAAATGAATGCTATCTTACTGGTTTTAGATACAATACTTCTAAATAATGTATCCTTTATTCCGACTGTCGTATCTACTCTGGTATGAAGAGCTGTGCTATATAATCCTCTACCAAAAAATAAATATAATTCAAACTTCTTTTGAGAAACCAGAATGTTTGCTGAGTTGTGTATTAAATAAGCTCAAGCTTACTTACTTACTTTCGCCTGTTACCCCCAATGGAGCATAGGCCGCCCACCAGTTTTCTCCAACCAACTCTGTCGTGGGCTTCGCTTTCCAGTTCTGTCCAATGTTTGTTCATTCCTCTCATATCTTTCTCTATTTCTCGGCGTAATGTGTTCCTTGGCCTTCGTCTTTTCCTTTTGCCTTGAGGGTTCCATGTGAGGGCTTGTCTCGTGACGCAGTTAGGTGCTTTTCGTAGTGTGTGTCCTATCCACTTCCACCGCTTCTTCCTGATTTCCTCCTCCACTGGAATCTGGTTTGTTCTCTCCCACAGTACGTTGTTGCTGATGGTGTCTGGCCAACGAATCCGAAGTATTTTGCGTAGACAGCTGTTGATAAACACTTGTATCTTCTGGATGATGGCTTCCGTAGTTCTCCAAGTTTCCACTCCATACAGTAGAACTGTCTTGACATTTGTATTGAAAATCCTGATTTGGGTTTTGGTTGAAAGTTGTTTGGAGTTCCAGATATTTTTCAACTGTAGAAATGCAGCCCTTGCTTTGCCAATCCGTGCCCCCACATCTGCATCGGATCCACCTTGGTTGTCGATG